CTAGGGATCGTTGCGAATGTGGAATTTAGACATCCGCAGATGCGAATGCTGATGTCAAGTATTTTAAATAAATTACTTGGCTGAGTAAATTAAATAGGTTATTAGGTTAGGTAAATAAAAAATGAAAAGTTGATAATTTTTAATAATGTTATTTGTTTCTTTATTTAGTACTTGAATTTAAAGTTCGGACATTGTATTTAAAAAAAGTAATTTGCTGCTTTTCGGTTCCAGCCTGTTTCTTAAAGGATCGTAAGGCGACAAACTTGAATAACTTAAAACTTGACAAAATTTTAAATTATTTTCGATTGAGGCTGCACCAGTTGAGAAGACTTTCATATACATGTTCACTTTTGAATTTTTCTTAAGTTTTTAATTGCCATTCGTGTTTATCTTGGTTAAATTTTTGCAAATTTTTGCTTTCGATTGCTTTTAATTTTTTTAGTTTTTTATTTAAGGTTTTGTGAAATCTTGAGTTTTTTCAATAAGTTTAAAATTTTTCGTTACTTTTTTATATTATACTGGCAAATACCCGGCGTATTAACTGCGCCTCAAAATTATTTTTGTGTTGTTAAGATAAATTTAAGAAGCTTTATAGGTGAGATTTTCAAACAAATTTTCGATTTATGAAGCATTCTTTGTTTTTTTATGAATGTGGGTGATAGTTATTATATTTTCGAAAGTATCTAGAAAGTAGGTTAGGTATCGACTTTCTTCATTAAATCATTCTTCATTATATCATTAAAATTTTCAAACAGGTGGCAACCTTTACAAAAATATTTTCGGCCGGGGGCCTTTTTAAACCTCTTTCTTTTGAGAGCTATATTGCCATATTTACTTACCAATTACATAAACTGAAACTTTCAAGCAGGTGGCAACTCTCTATTTTTTTTAATTTTAAATTAGACTTCTGGCAATACATCGGTGAAAACTGCATTCAATTAAATGCATTAGTATTCGAGTGATGCGCGTACAAACATACAGACAGACAGACAGACAAAAATTCTCAAAAATGTTGATTTGGCTTCTGGTGCTCTAATACAGATCCCCATATTAATCGGTCTGTTACAATTTTGATTTTTTTAATATTTTTATTTTTTTATTATTTTTATTTTTTTGTTATATTCATTTTTTTATTATTATATTCATTTTTTTATTATTATATTAATTTTTTTATTATTATATTCATTTTTTTATTATTATATTCATTTTTTTTATTATTATATTAATTTTTTTATTATCTGTTTTTTAATTTTTTATTATTTTTATTTTTTCAATATATTTTTTTTGATCTTGTATTTGTTTCAATTATTTTAAGAACTTTATGGTTTACTTCTTTTTCGATGTTTTTTTTTAATTTTTTAGCATTTTTTTATATTTCTTAACTTATTGTTATTTAGTTTACTCTTTACGTAAATATTTTTTTTAGTTCCTTTTTAAATTATTTAACTGTATTATGTAAGTATTTTTATATCTCTCTTCGATAGCACATATTTTTAACCAATTATTCGAAAAAACAATTAACCGGGGGTCAATTATGCGCGGAGTACTGTAGTAAAAAACGTTCGGTAATTTGCACGGCCAACGTGTATAAGTAATTCGAGCATGCTTTTTGGTTTTCGATTTTTTTTTTTGGAAGCAAAACGTTAAAAGTCACCAGAAAAAAATTTTAGGTAGCGCCAGAAAAAACTTATTAAGAGCTTTACAAAATTGTTTTCATTTCCAAAATCACATGTGCCTTAGCTTGATGGAGGCTAATTTAACCTATCCGAATGCACTATATTCTGAGCTTAAATTAAGCTTAATGACATTTATGCTGAGCACCGCCAAAGCACAAAAAATAACAGAAAATATGTACTGAGTTACATATGTGCTTTATTTACTTGCTAGCATTTACATATATAACGGTTTTATTTACACTGCGCGAAACAAATGCAGCGATGTAGAAACAATGCGACATGCAAAACAGCAATTAAGGTGATGGCTCGGTCGTTGGGTCGGCCAACGAGCAAACAGGTCGACCGACAGTCAGTTTGTATATGCAGGTGGTAGCTATATGCTCTTGCCTAATGTTTTATGAATTATAAACAACAACAAAAACAAACACAAAGAGGAGATTAAACATGGTAAGGTCACTCATTTGAAATACACACAAAAATTTTCCAGTAGTTGAAAGAAACATTAAGTTTGAGCAAAGATAATGGAGGACAGATTTCGTTTCTTCTTTATAAATTTTTTAGAGAAACATGCATACATACTTACATACATACATTCAGTTTGAAAAAAAAGTTATTCCTTTAGCTGACTTGTAGGACAGTTTCAAAGGGCATCAATTTCTATCATTTCTGCTAAAACAAAATACTGACTTTTCGAAAACCATATTAATACCTCAATAATTTCCACGAAGGGTGCCGTGAAATATATAAAAATCTAGCGAAGGTGTAAATTGGAGAAATGTTAATTAAATTACCGCAATTAGGATAAACGAAGTTTCTGTACTTAAGTGGTAGCCATCCACTCAATACATTAAGTCTCTGTTAAGCAAACAATCAATGATATTTTCAGTGTGACCAGGTTAGTCTTTTCGAGATTTAGCATTAAATTTTATGCAATAGCCTCAGAAATTCAGATCTGACTTCGTGGCGTTTTTCTGGCATTTTTAAATTAAAATATTGATAATAAAATTCGAACCGGAACTATAACAAATAATTTATAAGCAAAAGAAACCGACTTCAATTCTCATATAAAAAGAAAATATATATGTATTTATCTTTCATGATCCAATGATTAGATCTAAACCAGATTAGTATGGGATCACCTCTGAGGCACTACCTTTCCGATGCAAAAATAATTATCGAAATCGGTTAACGTGGTCCAAAGTTATGCATACATAAAAGAAAAAATAAAAAATATTCTGACGAACTGATATCCTCCCCGTTTTTGGAAGTCGGTTAAAAATAAGTACCTACCTAAAAATCTTAAATATTTTGAAAACTTTTATTTATTCTTGAAATATTACAATAACAGGGCAAAGTACAACTTCTTTGGGAAATACTTTCTTAGCTTTCTAAAAATAATACTGAGAATTTTGCTTTAAACTGTATTTTTTCAATTTTATTTTTGGCGTACTACTTGTGTACTATGATGTAGAGAATATTAAAGTTTTTGCATTTTCCTTATCCCAAACTTCGTTTTGCTAGCTATTCTGTGTTTTGATGAGAATTATTTAAGAAGTTATTTACAGAAAATGGGATTTGCGGAACATATCGAGTTTTTAAAGAAATATATTTACTTCTTTTTAACTTCAATTTTCATAGCGTATAACTTTTTCCAAACTTTTTTAAAAACGAATTTAGCTTCGCATTTTGCGATCACCTGGTCACACTGGATATTTTAGATATTTTTGCTAAACTAAATGACAATATTTTATTATCAATATACATATACATATGTATGTATAGTTAGTATTCTGCATAAGTACGTATGCATGTACATATGTACATATGTACGTATTTATTTAGTTGCCACATGGCACAACACTTGGCCAGCAGGCAGATTGAATACTTTATTTTTGTCCACTTTGGGGTGGTGTAAAAAATGCGTACGAGCTACCAACAAATTTGGTAACTAGTATCGATTGCACACAAATTGAAGAGGCTTAAGAATGGTGGAGAAGACCTACAAGTACGGCGTAGTTTCACACCTTTCCGGTTGAATTGCAATATAACATTAGCGGAAGGGTGGTGAGAGGCGGCAGATCTGCTAAAAACAATACAAAAATAGATGAAAACAAATTAGGATTACCACTTAGTGGGAGAATATTTTTAGAAAGGGTTACTGAAAAGTCGAACGTTGCATTTTGGTAGGATTAAAGGACTAAAGGTATAGAAATAGGCTTGTGATATTCGATTTTTATAGAGTAAAAGGATATGGAAAAAAATAAATTTTCAAAGGGTTTTCAAAAAACTTAAATTTATGTTGTTTCTAAAAATTGTAAACATGAAAACATTTTAAAGGATTTGGAAAAAGTTAAATTAATTTCGGTTTCGAACATACACGGTGACGGAGACCTGGATGGGTTTGAGCTGTAGTTAGTTTATGAATTAAAAAAATATTTAATTTTTATGAAAATTTTTCAGACAAAAAATAAAAAAAGCATGTGTGAGGAAAAAATTAAAAAAAAAATAATAATAATAAAGCGCGTGTAAAGAAGAAATTAAAAAAAAAACAATAAAGCATGTGTAAAGAAAAAATCAAAAAAATAATGGTAAAGCATGTGTAAAGAAGGAATTAAAAAACAAAAAAATAATAAAGCATGTGGAAAAAAATTACAAAATACATAAATTTAAAAAATCGGAAAAATTATAAACAAAAAGAATCCGCAAAAAAATTATTGAGGTAATCTTTTAGAGAAGGAAGGGAATTTTTAAGGAAAAAACAAAACCGACTTCAATTCTCATATAAAAATTTAAGAGGTACCACCTTTCCTTTAAGAGGGGAATTTTAGAAATCGGTTAGCGTGGTCCAAAGTTATGGGGTAACATACGTAATTAAAAATAAAAATTATTCCGACGAATTAATAACCCCTCCTCAAGAAAATAATTTTAAATAAATTGTTTAAGAAAAGTATTTTCACTAAACATCTATTTAAAAAATATAGTATAGTAGAGTGAAAAATAATAACAAAATTCTTAAATCTCTAAGAAAAATATTTTTAGGAAAGTTTTCCAGCACACAATTTTCAACAAAACAATTATTAGACAAGTTTTAAATTAAACTAACGAAACTATTTTTATTTTCATATTTTGTTTATTCATAATAAACAAATGATATTTTTTGATAAGTTGTTTTTTTTTAATAAATAACGAAACGAATTTTTTTTGTTTATATAGTTATGCAGCCCTGGTTTTAATACGCTTTGCATATGAACTAAAATTTTCATATTTTTGTGTAGAAAAATTTTTATTAAAAAAAATTCCTCCCCCCCCATTTCATTTACCTACAAAAACAGGTGACCGTCTCCTCCACGTCTAATGGCAGAGAGAGCTGCGTTGCGGCTGTGCCACCATTCCGCTGCGGCACAGCACGTCCAGGAACATGATGACGCGACGACGTCGAGGACGACGTATTCAGGAACGAGGAACCCGGAAATATTGAGGACGATCCATTCGTTGACCTACCGGAGGCTAAGGATGAGGACGACGGTGTCTGCGGCACTGAATCGGATGCATCCGAGGCCAAAGGCACCGCGGAATAGCGTACGAGTATGGCGCGGCTGACACGATTACCGCCCGTCAAATTGGAGAGAGCCCAATTCATGGTGAAAGAAAAAGTTACGAACAATAAAAATGAAAAGGACACAAGCCGTACGAGCGAAGTGCGAAATATGCGGCACAACTGCGGGTAGCAACGACGGAAATAATTTTTGGTCCTTAGTTTTGCTAGCTGGTGGCAGCAACATGCAGAGGCAACAAACCGCACGAAATTGCCAAACGCGACTGAAATCTAAAAATCGCAGTTTCATATACAAAACCAGCTGCTCAGCCGGCCAAGCTAGTGAAGTTAGGCAATAAAGCCAAGCATGTGCATTGCTGCTTGTGTGGAAAGCGCAATATACTTATGTATATTGGTGGCATTTGATGGTAGAGAAAATTACGCCTGACGAAAAACTACATAAAATAATCGGAAAAAATAAAACAAAGGCCGGAAGGAAAATTCGCTGCGAAGACGGTGGTTTATTTCAGCGAAATGAAACTTTTTTTATCAAAATGTAGGATTTTTCTTGTAAAATGTTTATTAAATTATGTACTTGAAAAAAATTGAAACAAAACAATAGAAGAAAAGAAATATAAATAAAATAAAATAAATGTTAAATAAAATCAAACAAACGAAAAACAATAATTAAATTGAAGAAAATAAACTTAAATGTTTTTCAGATTTTAAAATACATTTTTTTAGTTATATAATATTAGAATTATAAATCTGTTTATTTAGTAAAGATTTGTATAAATTTAAATAATTTAATCTACATATTTAGAAAAATTAAATTTGAGCTTTTTTTCAATTAAAAACTAGTACATTGTATGTATTTTTTTAATAAAATTTTTAATTTTTTTTTAAATAAATTATTTCTTACATTTGAAATAAAAAGTTTTTTTCAAAATAAAATTTTTGTGTTTCAAAGTAAAATTTTTGTGTTTCAAAATAAAATTATTGGTCAATTCTTTCATCAAAACGTTTATTTTTATATTTTTTACTTAAATTT